CGAAGTCGGAGCTGGTTAAGAAATACGATCTCAGCTCGCTTCGGCTTCTCGGCTGTGGCGGTGCGCCGCTGGGAAAGGACGTTGTTGACAGATTCCGTGAGAGATTTCCCACTGTTGAAATTGTACAGGTCAGAGAATTAACGTTGTCGCATTACCTTCCTAATTTTAATTCTTGACCGTTGATTGATAGTTATGTAAACGGCACAAAATCTTGGCCGTTGGTATTTGTTTATCTTTTAACTTCCCGCGTTTTTCGAAAAATTATTTAATTTGTGCTCTAATTTTCTTTCCTAGCAAGAAAACTTGTACGTGAAATAAAATACACGTTTAATTGAAAAATGCATCTACAGTACATAATTCACATTCGAATCTTGCACTCAGGTTCGAATCTTTTTTGTTAAACTAGAGTAGTTTAGAATATTATCGGGTAAAAGAAAAAGAGTTAGTAGGCACACATTTCTGTCGTCTGTCACATGTCTGAATATTGTGGCTGTTCAGGGATATGGTTTGACGGAGACCGGAGGAGGGGCAACGAGGATGATAAACTCCGAAGAGACTAAGTCGCATGCTTCTGTGGGCCGCCTATCGGAAAATATGGAAGCCAAGATTGTCGACCCTGAAACAGGAGAGGCATTGCCTCCCGGCAAGAGGGGTGAGCTATGGCTGCGAGGTCCATCGGTCATGAAAGGTAATGAACACTTGCCATGTCTCAGATATCCCACGTTGCAAACGTAAAACGTGGTAAGATGATTGTAAGTTTTTCGGCACCCTGTTCTTACAGTTTGATTTTGCAGTGATGACAATGTAGTTCCGTATCCAAATGACCTTTTCGAAACCTTTATAACATTTGCAGGTTATGTAGGAGATGAGAAGGCAACTGCTGAGACCTTGGACAAAGACGGGTGGTTGAAGACCGGTGATCTTTGCTATTTCGATGACGAGGGGTTCCTCTACATTGTTGACAGGTTGAAGGAGTTGATAAAGTACAAGGCATATCAGGTGACGACCGAAACTGAGACCCTTTGAAAGTTCACTCATAACAAAGATCACTGTAAATATCATTTGATCAGTCCCTTTACGTAATGTGTTATTTTCGGTGTCTCTAATTCTGGAACGAATTGCAGGTACCTCCAGCTGAGCTGGAACATATACTTCTATCCCATCCTGACATTGCCGATGCTGCTGTGATTCCGTATGTATCTAGTACTATGTCATCCTTAGAAGTTTAGCTTTATTTGTAAACAAGAAATTGGTGCATTTAAAGGAGAAAAAAGGTATAGAGAAAATTTTCCGTTTAAACGGATATTTTGCTGATAAGATGGCCTTTACGAAATCTTGTTTTATGCCGTCCCACCCTCATCCCAGAAGGCTAAAAGAAAACGAGTGGCATGTGTTCGCGCAGATAGTCGATAAGATCACAGTTTCTGGAATAATCTACTGGTTTTTCTTTTTGTGTATTTTTTTCCTCAAGGTTTACAAGTTCTTTGTTCTTCCCATTTGGGTTCGTAAAACAGGTATCCGGATGAAGATGCAGGGGAGATTCCCATGGCCTATGTGGTTAGAAAGCCCGGAAGCAACATCACCGAAGTTCTAGTTATGGATTTCGTTGCAAAACAAGTAAGCTCCTGAATGGAAAATCTGTAACTGAATGTGCATACAAGTTTTCTTCACAGCTTTCGAATTAAAATTGCTCATATACGTAGCTTTACATACATATTTTACGGAAAAAGAGAACAATTCTCATCACGAATATTAGGGTTCAACTGCAGATTTGAGGAGCAGCTTTGTATGTTATAGGCTTTCACATTGGTGTTGGCGCGTTCTTATTGCAGGTTTCACCGTACAAGAAGATACGGCGGGTAGCGTTTATCAACTCCATTCCAAAATCTCCAGCAGGGAAGATCTTGAGGAGGGAGCTAGTCAATCATGCTTTATCTAGTAGTTCATCTAAATTATGATTCGTTCGTCCAAAGCAAAGGAAGATCAAAGCCTTCTCAGCATCACATTCCGTCCGGCGTTCATCATATCGGCTCATTCATGCTCATTAGCATGTATGCAATCTTTGAATTTTCCGGTGGTGAGGGTCGGATCATAGTTGGGTGCCCACTTTGTTTGGGTTTACTTGTGTATATGTACACCATTTTTCTGTGATATTTTGAAACCCTAAACCCTTCAAGACCCTTTTTTGTTTCTTCGTACCATTGTGTACTGTGCCATAGAAGTTTGCTCCCCATCTTATGGCCTTCATACAACATTTTTATCGTATGGGCCCTATCTCTATTATTTATCGCTCTTAGAGAAGCAATTTGGACACTTCCAACCGTTTGTGTGCACTCACTTGAATTTAGAGACTTCCAACCGTTTGTGCACACTCACAATACTTGGGTTAGTAGACCGCGCACTTGTGAGTGTGACGTTTGATTCAACTAGCCCTAGCAAAATCCATGACATGTTCGTACACCACGTAACAATTGCAAACACATCTTACATTATCAATATTGGGCCTATATATACCAATTTACTTGTTCGCTAGTCTCCAACCACTTTAACCACGTAGCAATTTGCTTGTTGCAACTCCGGCAATACGTCGCAATCGAGAATCAATAACAGCTCCGGAAACTTGGGAATAACCAACAGTTCCGGGAACCTCGGGAGGTTTCTTCTCAGAAAGTGATCTTGAAGCAGTTGATTATGTTCTAATGCCTACAAATACACAATTGGCCTCATACATGTCCCTCTATCGGAAAAGACAGCCTTTTTGGTGTGTCCACTTGCAACTTCCTCATGCTCTGTACTTCCCCTCTACGCTGCGCAGAGAAAACTAAAAAACTAAATCCAAAACAGTTATCAAACTCGCCCATTGTGTTTTGATTTTGGAGTGTAACAAAGTTTGCTATTGTTTTCAGTGACCTACACGCAACCCTAGTGGAATTACCCTCTATCTGCTTCTTTGAGGTGACACTAGCTCTTTTCGTGATTGGGAAGACGATAACGTTCACGACTCGATGATTTATGTTCGGGGTTCTGATGATTTATGTTCGGGGGCTCGTTAGACTTCTGCTGCATTCTGTTTCGTCAAGCACAACATTTACAACACCCAGTGATACGGAAAAAACCAGTCATGTTCGGCTAGAAATATCGAAACTGCCAGATGTAAGGAAGACGGTTGCAAAGGGAAATCGAAGAAAAAAAGAAATCTACTGCTGCTATCATCTCACGTAATCCGCATTACAAATGATACTTATATACTGCCGCGATTCGCACGATGAATGACAGAATTTTGACATGATTACCTTTCAAAAATCTTACTGTAATGCGGAGAAGAGAATATATCCATCACGGTGACTCTTTGCATGGGTAAAAGTTACATATGCATCCTGCATAAAAGGAGTTCAGAGAAAAAGAAGGCGTGAAAGTACCAAACCGGATCTTCGTTATTCTAAAGACTAACAAACAAAAAGAAAAACACGAATATCATAAGCAACATTACGCAACTTTTCCTCTGATGCTCGGTACAAAGCTTTGATATTATCCTGTCTTTACAAAAAAATGGTTCCCACCGTGGCTGATAAAGCTGCTGCTAATGAAAGCACAGGATATGAGGAGGGCCTGGCATGTAAATTTCAGACAACTAATTTACACAACATTGAGCTCATAGGGCATACATACATCACATGAATTCACATCATTCGACATTGTGACGATGCCAATTCAATCAGCATACCTTTTAACTAGACACGATTTCAGAAAATTAAGGCACATGGGAAGCACGGTAAACATCTTTACTTCATACATCTTTATTTTCTTCATTTTTTTTAAATCATTCAACATCTTCCATTACACTTTTGAGTCCCCAGCATTCTCTATGCTTCAGAAAAATCCGAGCTAAATTTTTTAAAATTTCAACTATTTCCACTGGGGACACGATGTCATATCCAACCAGCATACAGGGAACATTTCTCGATCCAAATAGTTACAAGTTGAGTAGATATGCTAGCAATTGATATTTTATAAATACTCATTACTAAACTCTACAGCATCACAATTTTCTACTGATTCGGCATAAGATTGATGTAAACTACAAACCGTAGATATCCTATGCACACTACACATGGCAAAAAACGATAACAGCTGCACCTAGATTCACAAATCGATAAGGAAAAATGAAAACCCTTACCAGTTGAGTGATCTAGCTGCAGGCAAGCAAATTCTCCATTGCCATAGCAAGCTAATTCCTAACAGAATAATGCACATGGGAAGCTACATCTCAAAAATTAATCAAATGAAGTAATAGGCAGATGAAGGAGAAGACAAAAAGGAATTACAAGACAGAGAAAAACAAAATATAAGTTTAAACCACATTGCAGCTCCTGGCTCTACGAGATAAAACCTCAACCAAAAAGCATCCACAGAATGCAGAAGCAATCGAACCCGATGAGGAACTGAACGTACTGCACGTATCAAAATAACTCAAGCACCTAACAAAACAACACTACTTAGACAACGAGAAATAGCAGCGGAAGAGACTGGCAACACTGTCAACTTATAGTGCACACAATATATCTTGTTTATTTTATGTGTATTAGAAGTGGTCTAGACAGAACTTGCATTTGGGCAATAAAATTAAACCAATATAATGCCTCGTTTACTATGAACTTGAAGAAAAGGAAACATTTCCAACAAATTATCAATCGAGGATTGGCCGCGTGAAGTATGAACACACTGGCCTAACATAGCATAACCATAAGCTAAGCATTAGAGGGAGCATCATGATTTAGGAAAACATGGAAGACCGAACAGACCTCAATCCATGAACCAGCAATGCATATGACTGGATACACCTCAAAAGACCTTGTGTGTGGTAAAATAACTTACGATTGCGGAACTTCCAGTCTCCAAGTGTGAAAGCGAATAATGCACCCTCCCATTCTTTTAAAGCCCAGAATCACTTGCAAACAAAGTTTTAAGCGTGAATAAAGTGAAAGCAAAAGGTTTTAACGTACAAATAATGAAGACGACATTGATAAAAATAATATCATTCCAATGTGAACATATATACACAGGTTCAAGAATGTGGGAAAAAAAACAAAAAGTTCTCTTTTCTTCTCAACATTTTGCCACACCTTCATATAGGAAGACTGTGCACCGCTATTAAGCTGCTCTTAACAGGATAAACCATTAGTGCCGACTGACACACCTTGCAACTCCTTTGCTCCAGCTATCCTAAAGGACCCTACAGTAGAGGTCTTTGTTGTACTTTCTAGCTGCCATCAGGTTAGCAAAATATAAAGAACTGCAAAAAGAACAGGCTAAGATTATTGCTGTAAAATTTTCTCACGCCGCCTGCTGTTAAGGTGCCGGTCGTGAACATGTCGATCAGGAGTAATTGGCTTGAAATCCCTTCTTGGTTCAGGGGACTCGTGAAACCAGGTATGGTTGAGGGCATCCGTCGCTGTTATTCGCTCCGCAGGGTTATAACATAAGAGCCTCTTCAGCAAATCAAACCCAGATTCAGAGAGCACTGGGCATGAACCAGTGAAAGATGCGGCAGGAAATTTCTTGCGCAGAAGATTGTACCTGAAAGAGTTTCAGAAACTATTAGAAAGATATTAAACGGTGAAAACAAGTAACCACAAAAATCAGCAGGAAGGAATGAACTTGCAATCGCTAAAATTAAAATGGAAAAAAGAAACTTACGGTTGCTTAACAAAATTAGCTTTGAAGCCCGGCAATTTGGACAAACCACTTTTCTCATCTGGTGTACCAAGAGTTTTGAAGATCTTGTCCAGCTGCTCAATTTCATCTTTCCCGCTAAAGAGAGGTGCCTTCGCCAACAATTCAGCCATTATGCAACCTACTGACCACATATCAATTGCTGTAGAGTACTGTTTTGCACCTAATAGAATTTCAGGTGCCCGGTACCACAAAGTGACAACTAAAGAAGTATATGGCTTTAGTGGACTCCCATATTGTCGTGACAACCCAAAGTCGCATATTTTCAACTCACCCTCGTTATTCAACAGAATATTTGATGTTTTCAGATCTCTGTGAAGGATCCAATTGTCATGAAGATACTCTACACCCTCCAAAAGTTGTTTCATCAAGTACTTAACTTCACCAATACTAAATGGCTGCTTCATTGACTCCATTAGCCCCTTCAAGTCATGGTCCATATGCTCCATACCATATAAACACCATCAAAGTCATCCATAACAACTTCCTTAACACCAACAACAGAAGGGTGATTAAAGGACAAGAGAATGTTTATTTCTCTCAATGCCGACATAGGGAAACCATCACATCCCTTATCCACATCCATCTTCATCTTCTTCAATGCGACAATTTCTCCGGTCTTTTTATCTCTGGCTCTAAAGACAACACCATAAGTGCCTTCACTTATATGGTTGAGCCTTTCATACTCAACACACTTCTGCAACCTTGAAGCATGTTTATACATTTTTGTGTAGGCACTTCTGGCTCTTCAATCTGAGAAAGATCAGAATCATCTTCAGAATCAGAGTAGAACTGGCTATCGTCAGCATTCCCACCATAATTATCAGCATCCATATGCGCACCATCACATAACTCGTCTCCATAAAGTGTATCTCCACTGCCAGGCTTTTCAAAGCTGTCTTCTTTGTCAGAGCCAGAAGTTCTAGCCCGACTCAACCTAGAGCTTTCTATCCGAATCTCCCCACTTTCAGGCGAGCTGTCATCAGAGATATCCCTTGGGGAATCACTATCGGATGACCATTTTGACAATGAGATGTCACGTTGATAGAAAAATTCTTTGTCTTCCTTGTTCTTTTGCACCTGCTCATCTTCCCCAACCTTCTGAGGATGTAGTAGTGCAGAGAGATCGGCTGGTGCCTCAAATTGAGAAACATCAGAAATTTCGGAAACCTCCACTTCCAGAGACTCCACCACTCTAGCCAGAGACTTGGAAGGAACTCCAACAGAAACAACATCCTCAACCTTAGCAATAGCAGGTAATCTTGCTACATCTGGATGAGGGGAGGGCAGAGGAATAACAGGAACAACTCTATTCTTCGATGAGACTCTCACTTCCTTCTCTTCTTTGTCCCATATAATAGGAGAAAACTTCCTCTTCTTCTCAGGAGGTGATTGATAAGCATCTTCACTCCTTCGGGTTTTGCAATTCTTAACCACTAGTTCTGGGGCATTTGGAAGCCATCCAGATCCTTGTGAATCACACATTTTGGAAGAACGATGGAGTCCATTCTTATGTTTGACATCATCACTAAATTCAATCTTCTTCTCAGCAGGTAATTGAGCCGCATCTTCACTCCTTCGGGTTTTGCCATTCTTAACCAATGGCTCTGGGGCATTTGGAAGCCGTCCATATCCCCGTGAATCGCGCACATTGGAAGATTGATGGAATCCATTCCTATGTTTGAGTTCATCACTGCGACCATGACCTACATCACCACGAGAAACCCCATTCCTATAATACTCAAATTCCCTTTTCAAGTAATTATAAGAATCCCTCCTCCTCAAAACATCGACTCGCCCTGTCGCCATATGATTAACAAGCACAGCTCTTCTTAATCAGTGGTCAAACTCAACAATTGAAATCAAAACACAATAACCCCTAGAAAATTTCAAATCCCTGAATTCCCAAAGAGTCAAAATCACTTTCAACTTTATCAAATTCAATTTTTATTCAAACCCTAACCAATCCTCAATCCCCCAAAAAAAAAAATTCAGCCTTTTTTCCCTTCAGACCCCAATTCAATCAACACAGACAGACAGAGAATACAATTCACAAAAACTTCAATTACAAATGAACACAGACGCACAGATCAAAGAACATCAATCAGATGCCAAATCGGCGAATAACAGAAACCCTAGAACCTCGATTTTTGTGGGAACCCGCGAGAAATTCACAGGTATCGGAAGGCCTTACCGGCAAGATGAATCGAGATCGATTAACAGGAAATCGATACGAGAGCGTCGGCGCCGATGAGAGGATCGCAAGAAATCGATCAGCCTCCAAAGGGTTCTTCTAGCTTATACGCGTTTTGATAATCTGGTCTTCGTCTCCGCGTGGAATTATATATATATAGAGTCCTGGTGCGGTTTGGAAGCGTGTGACACGTGTACTTTGGCACCTTTTTCTTGTGGGACTCCATATTTCGTTTGGGTTTTTTGTTTGTGGGCCTTCAAATTATTTAACAAGATTTATTCAATGGGCCTGCCATGGCACAAATTGTAGGTCTGTTGGGCCTATTATTAGGCAACATACCGATAACCTCTGCGGCCTCTTGGGCCCACTAGTACTCTGCCCAAACATGACGAGGACTCTATACAGAGTTTTTTTTCTTTATTTTGAACTCATTATCTTTACTAATTAATAAAATCTTCTTTGTCAACCAAAAGAGGGTGAAAAGATAAATTAGTCTTCTATCACACAACAAAAAGATGGGCAATAATGTAATTTCACAGGTCTAAATTTTACTGTTTTTTATTGAAGCCTTACCTACAAGTGATGTTAAAATACCTTCAATATTAAAAAAAAACAAAAACAAAAACCTCTCACTCCCCCCAAGTTCTCTTTCTCTCTTTCTCTCCCTCTCTCCCTCTCTCCTTCTCATTTTCTAAAAAAATGTGTTCATACACACAAAGTGTGTAGGCAAATACTAGTTTATTATTTATTAGATTCGATTTAAGATCTCTCACTTATAAATATTATAAACCTAAGTGGCAAATGACAAAGAGTTAGCTTTTTTTTTTTTTTAAGTATTGTGATAGCATTAGTAGATTAAGTAGTTAGTTGTCAAAGGGTTGGAGAATCCGTGGGGATTAAACCCCCATCAGAATGCATAAACATGGTTGATAATTTGTTTTCTGCCACTGACCCATTACGGTAAAACATCATCTACAAGAGTTAGCATGTTTTTTTTTTATCAAACAATAGATTTGTTAGATTAGGAAACCGACGAGATTCGAACTCACGATGTGGTTTAAAGGCAATATTTCTCTCCACCACTATGATAGAGGGCCACTTACAAGAGTTAGCATATTTTGAGTACTCATTATTTATTTTTTTGGTAAACGAGTACTCATTGTTTGACACAAATTATATATGCTAAATCTCACAAATACTAATAGCAAACGGGTTGGTTTAATATCAACCACAATATCTCCATTTTGACAAGTGAAAAAAAACTTGTTCCACTAGTACTAAATGAAGAATTCGAATCAATTAGTCAAGTTGTACAAGTGATGACACGATTGTTGAATTTTTTTAATAGATTCTCAGTTGAGAATATATGCGAGCCAATTCAAATATTTTAGATTTCTTAGTAATTAGATCCAACAAATTGAAAAAATGGTGTGTGTAAAAATGTTGTTAAAATCACTCTCCAATATTAAAGCTAATTATTTACATACAAACCTAAAAATACCTTCAAACAAGAAAAAATTGCAATAAAAAGAAAACAAAAGTGTGAAAAATGTAACTTCTTTTTTTAACACATCTTATAGCAAAGGTCAAAGAAATATTTTTCCTCACCATCCACAGATAATCCTGGTATTCACACTCTATTTCTCGCCATCACTTGAGAGGTGAGAAAAATGCAACCAGGGTCCAATGAAACCATACCGCGGTGGTAAAACCCCCCAATCCTCAGTATCCTAATTGACACCACCCCCAAGGCAGGCACAAACTTCAAAGAAGCCGCCCCTCCTTATCCTCCTCCTCTTCAATGCACAACTTGCATCACCACCTGCTCACCTTACGCACATAACGCCATGCACCGTCCCATAACGATAATGCTCATCCGCTACATTATACACCCCTTTTCGGTCACGCCTCTATATATCTATCACTACACCTCCCCTTACAACCATATCATAGTTTTTGCTAGCAAAAGGGAGAAAAAAAATGATAGGAGTTGGCACATATGGCTATCCTGAACAGGCCACCATGAGGAGCGGTGGTGGCGGCGGAGGATATGACGTTCCCGATGGTGTCGACATTCGGGGACGGTACGACGGAGAGTTTGCGAGGATTCTGACCAAGGATGCTTTACAGTTTGTGGTGGAGTTGCAGAGGGAATTTAGGAACCGAATCAAGTATGCGTTGGAGTGTCGGAAGGAGGCTAAGAGGAGGTACAATGAAGGGGCTTTGCCAGGGTTTGATCCTGCTACCAAGTTCATTAGGGAGGGGAATTGGGTTTGTGCTCCGGTACCGGAAGCGGTGGCGGATCGGAAGGTGGAGATTACGGGACCTGTGGAGAGGAAGATGATCATCAATGCTCTCAACTCTGGAGCCAAAGTTTTCATGGTCAGTAGTTTTCATTCATACATGTTGGTTCTCCAAATGATCAGTTTTTGCCTTTTTCCGTTTTTGCTTGGTAGCATGTTTTGATCGGTGGGAAGAAAAATTTGGTTATAACCATAACACCACATATTATGATGGTTATGACCATAACACCACATGTTGTGATCCACCCGAATTATAACATGACGAATCATATTTGTCAATTACTTTCGCTATAAATATTTGAGTATCACGGTCAAACTGTGATGTAGTGTTAGTATTAATTTGTTATGACATAACTGAACGACGAAGTTGATACGTCATAAACTAAAGTACAGTGCTAATTTGACAAAAAAGGTTACAATAGTAATAGATTAATCCACTTGTTATAAACGATAAAGTTGATATGCCATTGTCTAAAGTACAATGATAATTTGACTGGTTATTTGGTAATACAATGCTACAGTATGATAGTTATTCAAAAGACATTCTTTAGAGGACAATTTTTGTAAAGTCACATCTTCACGAGACCTCGTTTATAAAAATGAGTCTAGCATCAATAAAATTGGAGATGTGATCTACAATTTTGATACAAACTAGTTTTGTTGAGTGCATTCACAAGCATGAATGAAAATGGTACTTAGTTCCCCTTTAACGTAGCAAATGAGTTAAGATTAGGCTAATGTCTGGTTTGCTTATCTCCATTGTAATCTAAAAAAGCTGTTCTTATTTTTGTAGGCGGACTTCGAAGATGCACTGTCACCAACTTGGGAGAACTTGATGAGAGGGCAAGTGAATCTGAAGGATGCTGTGGATGGGAGCATAACATTCCATGACAAGGCCAGGAATAGGGTTTACAAGCTGAACGACAGAAACACAGCCAAGCTTTTTGTTCGTCCGAGAGGTTGGCACTTGCCTGAGGCTCACATTTTCATTGATGGTGAGCCTGCAACTGGTTGCCTTGTGGACTTCGGCCTTTACTTTTACCACAACTATAAAGCATTCAGGCAAACCCAAGGGGCTGGATTTGGACCTTTCTTCTATCTCCCTAAAATGGAGACCTCAAGGTAAGTAATTACTAGTTAAATACCTTACTAATTTGTTCAAACATGTTAAAGATGTTTCGATCAAACGTTTTTGCAAGGGACGAGTGTAATTTGTATGCTAAAATTTACATTATATTTAGAATTTCATGTCACGTGATGCAATTCAAACATTGGTGAAGTCAATTTTATATGTTGTTGTGTGGGGAAGAAAAAGGACTTTTTGTAATGAAATGTCATTATGACAATTCTCAAGCCAATCCACACTGCTATGTGAAAAAGTTAAAACGCATATCAGTACATGATTGACTTAAGATTTTGTCATAGGTACTGTAGATAAGTTTCTTTCATCGCAGCATTGCCCAAAACCTCAATTGCTATATATAACAAAAAATTCACGATGAGAGTCGGGGAATTTTTATTTTTATCCGAAAGTTGCATGGATATTAGCCAGATTATTTAGTATTGTGCCCAAATGATGTACTAGTGTGACAGAAGCTGCATAATTTTTGCAGGGAAGCTAAGATATGGAACTGTGTGTTTGAGAGGGCAGAGAAGATGGCAGGGATAGAGAGAGGTAGCATCAGGGCAACTGTGCTGATTGAAACACTTCCAGCTGTGTTTCAAATGGATGAGATCCTCTATGAGCTGAGGGACCACTCTGTTGGCTTGAACTGTGGAAGATGGGATTACATTTTCAGCTATGTCAAAACCTTCCAGGCTCACCCCGACCGCCTCTTGCCAGACCGTGTTCTGGTGGGCATGACTCAACATTTCATGAGGAGCTACTCTGACCTCCTCATCCGGACGTGCCATAGGCGCGGCGTGCATGCCATGGGTGGCATGGTATGCAATTCTTCTTCATTATTAGTTAATGTGCCTATAACTATAAGCATTTCTGTCGCATGTCCAGTTTGCAGCCGTATACAAATTTTGTGCATCACTGGTATCTTTATGACACAGTAGGTGTCTGATTGATAATTTGATATGCATGTTGTAGGATTCTTATGCAAAATGTTCTAATCTTTTTTAAGGGAAATGTTCTAATCTACCACTGTTAGAGTGTTCCCAGATTGGCAGTGGTAGATTGGAGCGTTCCTCGATTTTTAATCAAACATAGAACTACATGGACACTAACAGACAATAAAGTGTACAAAACCTGTTTTATATACAACTTATTTGCCCGTCTACTGTCTCCCCAGTTCAATTTTCAAATTAAGAGTTCGCAACCAATGATATAAGTAGTTCTCAAATTACTTGCATATTCATGTAAAACATGGATATAAAACTTGGGAGATTGAGAACTTGTAAATTAGAGACGACAAATATGAAATGTTTTTCATTTATCCAACTTTTGAAATGAGCAGGCAGCTCAGATTCCAATCAGGGATGATCCAAAAGCAAATGAAGCAGCCTTGGACTTGGTGAGGAAAGACAAGCTAAGGGAGGTGAAAGCAGGACATGATGGAACATGGGCAGCTCACCCAGGGCTAATCCCAGCCTGCATGGATATCTTCACCAACAACATGCCGCCCAACACCCCTAACCAAATCCAATCCATGAGAAGAGAAGATGCATCCACCATAACAGAAGAAGACCTCCTCCAGAGGCCTCGCGGCGTCCGAACCCTAGAAGGTCTCCGGCTCAACACCCGGGTAGGGATCCAGTACGTGGCAGCATGGCTCACTGGGACAGGCTCAGTGCCACTCTACAACCTCATGGAGGATGCAGCCACTGCGGAAATAAGCAGGGTGCAGAACTGGCAGTGGATCAAGTATGGAGTGGAGTTGGACGGTGACGTGCTCGGAGTGAGGGTTGGGAAGGAGCTGTTTGGGAGAGTGGTGGACGAAGAAATGGAGAGGATTGAGAGGGAGGTTGGGAAGGAGAAGTTTAAGAAGGGAATGTATAAGGAGGCTTGCAGGATTTTCACCAGGCAATGCACCGCTCAAACACTTGATGATTTTCTCACTCTGGATGCCTACAATCGCATTGTGCTACACTACCCAAAGGGATCATCCAGGCTCTGATTACATTCACTTCTTCATCATCTACTTTTCTATTTTACTAGTTAAGGACTCTTGCCGAATCAATAAGAATGTTCTCCAATAACGGGAATTGATCAGTTTATCGATCGACTTATGATAAATGACCAAATGGGCCACTGCAATTATATGTTGGATTCATGCAATCCATAAGTACTTTTATGTAACTGGGTGAGTAATTTTTCGGAGTAGTCACACGGTGATATGGAGCCTGCAGATCACTTCCTCAGCTATTTGCGTAGTTTCCAAATGTTGTGATATGGTTTTTGTTGTTGTAGGAAGTGCTTAGTGTAAACGATTTAATAACTTAAGTTCACACAATCAAGATAATTTTCAGTATACTCAGAACTCAGGATAGAATTCACATGTTATTATATAATAATTGGAGGGACACAAAAAAACACTTTCCTCCAGTTGTATAATAACAAGTGGTAGCCGTCCCGTGTTCCAGACACACTGTAAATCTCTTCACAAAATGCATGTAGTCTAATATCCTAGTGAATAGGATATTCAGTTTCTACGCATGCAAACACGATCCACCCCAAAAATATCTTTATAGTTCACAGAATCAAGGATAAAGTACTTCAAACATATGCCAGATTGAAAGGAAGAACGGGATATGTCAAAAAACGATTTTTGATTTGCAGGCATCGGTGCAAATAAAATAATTTGTATGCACTGATCAGTGTATAAGCTCACCCGTTAATTTGATAGCCAGGTAACTTACATATGTGTTCTTTTTTTCAACAAAGAGGAATGGATGATGATTTTTTAGGAAGATAGGAATGCAAAGTGTTAATTAGCACTCAAAAATTCATCCTTGTTTCAAGTGCTTTTTTCTCCCTTATATTATTATAAGTTTAGAGTGCATAAAAACTTTTTTTAATGCTAATAACATCTTCATTCTAACTTTATATATATATATTTTTAACAAACATTCTAACCTTGTATTTTAATATTATACAATACTTGCATTCCTCTTTGGGGGATGATTTCATCCCCCTTACGAATAACATATTTTGATAGTACAAATATATAATCAAAATCGTTTAATTTCTTAATCTTCATTTGAAGATCACCCCTGCTAAAATCATTTCACTTGGAGATCATATAGTCAAATGTATAGAACAAATGAAGATGTAGGTACCAAGTAATATATTCAGGTCAATCTTCCATTTATTTGATATGTTTGGATCATTAAACGACCTCCAATTCGAATGATTTGTTGCAAGATTGGTCTTCAAATAAAGATTAATAAATTGAATGGTTCAAATTATTAAATTTTATTTAGTTAAGATATGTTATTTGCAAATAAAAAATATATACATCCCCCGCACATGAGATGCAAGTTCATATTTCATATCTAGAACATACATTATAACTTAAATAAATAAAACTTGCGTAATTTAAAAAGCATATGTAGGTTAGGTCAATAATTTAAGATGCTCATGCACCCAAAACTAGAGCCCGGATAGTAATCTATTATTCGAGATGTGTATATAGTGAGCAATATGACTGATCAATTTTCGTCTTTATAGGATATTTGACCCCATCCAAACTGTGATCAACCATTCTTGAATTCAACTATTACTGTTCAAAGTAGCCAACTTAGCCATATTTTATTCACTTTTAAGTAAGATGTGACGACCCGTCCCGAATTATTATATATTTTTCTCCCCGAGTGTGTAAAGTGACGATAATGCCCTCGTGGTTTAGTGACATGGATGTACATGTGTAGATTCAAATTATTATTTCTACCGTCGTAATTAAATCGTACTCAACATCACGAGCACGTTGACGTGAGTTAAGGTCGAATCGATTTTCTAATAGAAAAGTTACGACAATTAAAGATCGAGATTGGGTAGAAATATGTTTTTGGGTTGGCTATACCTTACTCACCAATCACCTTAGCTCCTCTAATCTTGAATCCAATCAAAATTGGATTGGTTTTATTTATTTTGGGCCACTTAACATAACTCTCTCTCTTTCCCTTTCTCACGGCAGCCCAATGAGGGCTTTGTTTCTTTTTCTTGGGGCCAACCCGTGACTACACCCACACACACACACGTACCATACCCTCACCCTCTCATTCTTTCTCGATTCTTCCCCGTCCGTACAACCCATAGACCACTCGCGCAGAAACCCATCAAAACCTCACGGATCAAGCACAATGATAACATCCTCGTGCTCCTCTCGACTTCACAAACATGGAGGCGCCCTTTTCTCGAAGAAAGGACATGTAGAACTCGAGAGACTCGAGCTCCGGCAAGGGGTCCAATTTCCTTGATCATGAGGGATTTAGTTGGTTTTGAGATTCAAGAAGGTACTCATCTAACTTCCCTAGCATTTTGGAACAATTTTAGGGTGGTTTGAACATTGGATCACTCAGGGTCGTGAAGTTGCAGGTTTAGCTGAAGGTTTCGAAGGTTTTTCAGACCATTTTTCATCGGTTCTAGGACCTCAAATATGTAAGATTGTGTTCTTCTAGTTGAGAGCTTCAAATCCATATAAAAATTCGTGAAATTTGGTTGAGAAATGACGTAGTTTTAAGCTTTAGAAAATTTTCCAGAAACCGGCAACACAGACAACGGCCGGCGGCGGATTCAGGTGAAGCCACTGGAGAATGAGGAGAATATTCCGTCAACTTTGACGGAATATATTGACGGCGTCAAGTAGCTCCGTTAGTTTTTAAACAGAATATTTTACTATTTAACGGAATATTCCCTAACACCGTTAGAGATTCGGTCAGTGTGCCGAGCACGTGCCTGTGCGTGGCCAGCACGTAAGGGCGCGTGTGATGTCTAAAAATTATTTTGAAAATATGGGGGTGTTTGTGTTATTAAGTAGATCATGTTGGTATATTCAAACACCCCATTTGAGCAATGTATGAGAAGTTATTCCTAAGGTTTGTGTATGTGCTTTAAAATTAATGTAAAATTAGTTATTTCGCATATAGGTGAGATGTACCCTAAGGACGAGCTTGGACAAGCAAGGCTAGGGGGCTACGATCATGCTACTTATCAGTGAGTGGGCATTTTCTTTCTTTCTATATATATGATATGGTTTCCATAATGTTTTCTTAAAATGATTTATGCTTTGAATGCCATGGTTGCACTTTGAGTATTGCACTGTTATACTTGTGAATTATATTGTGTAATGCTGTGGAGACTCAAGTAAGCTTCAGGTGAGTATGATGTGACCTTGGATCCAAGTCTGGTGCCAGCATATCATACAAACCACAATAGGTGGTTCCGACTTGTAGGTGACCAGCGATTTATCACACAACCTTCACGTGATCGTAGCACTTGAGTGTACATATTTATACCTAGCCTGTCGTACAGGTCACATCATGTGACTTCGACTCGTGTGCTAGCCTAGGTTGATGAGCTATAGTCTAGTCGTACATGTCACATTAAGTGACTCTGACTAACGTGTTATTTTACATTGATTCTACACCTAGCTTACATGATTTATACGTTATGACATGGCATATTTTGGGCTTCACTGCCCTTGTGTGTTGTTTTATATATGTAGTACTATTTTCTGGAAACTATACGGGTTTTACAGTGAGGAGTTATTATGTTCAAAAAAAGATAAATGTGTTTTCAAATGTTTTGTTTTTGCCCACTCACCTTTCTGTTTTGCGCCCCTCAAGGTTCTAGGTAGTTGATCATCTTTGGTGGCTCACGAGGACTTCACGGCTATTCTGACATATCCATAAATAAGTAGGGATCTTCTGCTTATTTTGTATAATTAGCACTTAGTTAGTTTGACTGCGCTGTTGAATTGCCTATGCTCTGAATACTTGTATTTGGTACTTGACCACTTTCACGCACTTATTTATTATCACTAGTTAGATTAGCTTAGGTTGGTTTTTATTTATTCGCATTTTCTTATTATTGTTTACACTTCTGTTGCGCATTTGGCTACATCACCCTCACGTGATGGCCATTACCCTCACGTGATGGCCATCACGTCTCGACTTCGGTCGAGGTGTGTCAATTTGGTATCAGAGCCTAGGTTTCGGCTGTCTTGTACTCTTTGCTTGAGTTCAAATTATTTTTATCTTTTATGTCAGAACCATGCCGCCTCATAGAGAGCCACGTATTTCTTCTTAGTCTAATTTTCCAGATATTAGACAACTTGGTGAAGCTATTGCTAATGCTATTCAGTCCTCACTCCGTCCACCCCAGAGAACCCCCTTTGCGACTGTTTATAACTTGAAGTTGAATGATTTCTTAGGCAATGAAGGGTCCGAGGGAGCTGAGCGTTGGCTTAATCATGTTGAGAAAACTTTTCGGGTGATGCAGCAACATGGAAATCTTCCAGATGACAGATGGGTTGAGATAACCACTTGGTTTTTGCGTGAGGAGGCTGCATCATGGTGAAGACATAAATCTTTCCAGTTGTCAGCGGAAGATGCCCTAATTTGGGAGGTTTTTAAGCACATATTTCAGAAGAAATTTATACCTCCGGAGTATTTGGATCGTAAGAGGGAAGAATTCTCGCATTTGAAGCAAGGGAAAATGTCAGCTATTCAGCATCATCGAAAGTTCACTGATTTGTCCCGATATTTTTCGGAGATTGCTGCAAATCCTACTAAGATGCTTCAACGTTTTAAGTGGGGTACTCGAAAGAAGTGGTGTTCTATGGCGACTATGACTCCATGTTCTACATATCAAGAATTTTTCGAGATTCTACTTCAGGTTGAGGACTCTGAGAGTGCTCCGGATGATAGTGATGAGGAGGAAGAAAAAGGTAATGTTAAAAAAATAATAATAAAGATAAAGGGCAGTCATCTTACAGTCCTCGTAAAACTCAGAATTTTAAGCCAAGTAGTGCTAGTTCTGGTTCATCCAGTGGTGGTTCGAATTCTGCTACGCCACGGAGGGGTGGCAGGTTTACAAGTGGTTCCTGATTCCAGAGGCAGAGAAATCCTAATAGTCCTGGTGCTCCACTTTGTTGTAGGTGTAATAATCGTCAATTTGGGGGAGTGTAGACAAGATGGTAGTGGTGGATGTTTCACTTGTGGCCAGATGGGGCATCGAGCTATCCAGTGCTCGTAGAATCAGTAGAAACCCCATC